GAGTCAGATTAGATAAGCTTGATTTTGTTTTTCTTCAGGCAGACAGACTTTTTTCTTCAAGCCTTGAGTCCATCTGGGCATTCTGGTTCTGAAAAAGCCTAATTGTGGAATTAATTTTCACTGATCCATGCTATGAGTCTCCTTCAGGGTCGAACCCACCACGCTGACGAGTCCCAGAAGCCGCAGGTGGTCTGCAATTCTCAATCGCCTCCACCTTACAGTTAACTGATGACGTGAACTCCACTTGGAACTATTTTCATAATAGTTTCATTTATTTTGTGAACAAACATGCTCCTTTTTGTCAGTTCAGAATAAAGGGACAAGACAGCCCCTGGTTTACTCCAGAGCTAGCTGACCTCCTGCACAGGAGAGATCATCTTTGGGCCACAGCGAGAAAATCTGACTCAGACACTGATTGGTTGAGTTTTCGACAGATGAGGAATAAATGTACAACTGCTATCAAAGCAGCAAAATGCAACTATTTCTTATCTCAGACCTCCAAAAATCTAAATGACCCCAATAGATTCTGGAAAACCGTCAAATCTCTCTCAGGCAGCCCCCAACAATATGACCTCACATCACAACTTCTCGTTAACTCTGTTCCTGTTCAAATAAGCACGAGATCCCGAGCAGTTTCAACAAACATTTTGTTGCTTCTAGTTCTTTATTTGACACAGTTACTAATGGAAAATCAGCCACTTCACTTAATAACCAAATTTCTACAAATCAAATCCCTCCTACAAATCAATCCTCAGTTAAACACAGCTTCTCTATTTCTCCGTTCTCAGTCAGTGAGGTCAATAAACTGTTAAAAGATCTTGATCCTAAAAAATCTGCAGGTCCAGATGAACTTCCACCTTACTTCTTAAGGCTGGCTGCTCACATCATCACAGTCCCTGTGACACCACATCTTCAATCTCTCCATAAGACAAAACTCCATCCCAGACACTTGGAAAACAGCCTTTGTTCTTCCTTTGCTGAAGGGAGGTGACCCCACTTCACTGAACAACTATTGGCCAATCTCTAAACTCTGCATTCATCCAAGGTTCTAGAAAAACTGATAAACTCTCAAATCAAAAATTACGTGGACTCATTTAACATCTTACATTCCAATCAATCTGGTTTCAGGAAACAACACAGCACAACCACTGCTTCACTGAAAGTTCTTAATGACGTTGTTGAAGCACTGGATGCTAAGGATTATTGTGCTGCACTTTTCTTAGACCTGTCTAAAGCTTTTGACACTGTGGATCATAACATCTTGTGTCATAAACTCTCAGAAATTGGTTTCTCAGAACACACCATTGGTTGGTTCTCTAACTATCTTTCAGACCAGAAGCAATGTGTTCAACATAATGGTACTTCCTCCAGTTATTTAACAGTCAACAATGGTGTACCACAAGGCTCAGTCTTAGGACCCACCCTCTTTATAATCTACATACATAATGTAGGTAAAAACATCCCTAATGCATCCATACATTTTTATGCTGATGACACAGTTGTTTATTGTCGAGCTAAAACTGTTGCTAAGGCTTTCCAGCTTTTGAAATCTGCATTCAACATCATCTAGACAGATTTGTTCCGCCTCAAACTTGTCCTAAATGCCGACAAAACAAAAGGGATGCTTTTTTCAAATAGGAAGTTGGTCCCAGCAGTTCTTCCTCCGATTTCATACTCAAATGGTGTCCCCATTGAGTTTGTTGATTCCTATAAATATTTGGGTGTCTTGGTCTACTCGCATCTCTCTTTTAAGCTCCATGTGGAAAACTTGGTAAAGAAACTGAAAGTTAAACTGGGTTTATTTTTCAGAAACAGATCCTGTCTAACCCTGAATGCAAGAAAATGCCTTGTATCTGTGACTTTCCTTCCCTCCATTGATTACGGTGACATTACATGAACGCTCCTACAAGAACCCTGCAGATGTTGGATGCTGTCTATCATGGTGCACTAAGATTCATAACTGGCTGTGATTATCGTACCCACCACTGCACCCTGTATTCACTGGTTAACTGGACATCATTAACTTCACGCAGACTCTCTCACTGGTATATTTTCATTTTTAAATCACTTCTTGGTCTGCTGCCTTCATACATCTCCTCCTACATGTCTCTGCGTGAGTGCAGCTACGGCGTACGCTCTCAGGACATTATTACCTGCAGTGTTCCCTCAATGAGGACTGAACAAGGCAAGAGGGCCTTCTCCTACTCCACTCCTGTTTCCTGGAATACCTTACAAAAACAATTGAAGCTCTTGACCTTGACCTCTCTAAGTGGCTTTAAGAATCTGTTGGACTCCTGGCAGGGACCAATGCAGACATGTTCCTGTTTTTAGTTTTCTACATTCGCCTTAGAATCTAGCTGTTTTTTGTTACCTTTTTCT